TGGGGTTTTTCAGCTTTCTATTTTCAGCCGTAAGTACATCAACGCCGGTTCTAAGACTTGATATGTTTTGTTTGTTTACATTAGAGCTAGACATAACTTTATCGTACTGGTCACTCATAAAACTCTGACTGTGTTCCATATCGGTAATCTTTTGCTCCATATTGTTCAAGCGGTCCGTTTTCTTATTCACGCTTGCTTGTATTGAAGAAAGTTGACCTAATTTAGAGTCCATGCTATCTAAACGCTGTATTATACATTGTAACATGTCAACATTCATCGTCGGAGTAGGGGGTGGGGGTTGTTGAAGAATCGGAGAAGTCTGTGGGTTCATGTAATACGTTGGTGATGAATACATAGGAGGGATGGGAGGCAACATAAATGAACTACAACTTGTCAACTCAAAATTGCAATAAATTGTGTGACAAATATAATTTGTTATAAATCTGTACTGTAATGTAGCCTACACCATGAATTATAAACAACATAGTCTATTTAAAATTATTATTATTATTATTATTATTAATTATTATTATTAATAATTTATTATTATTATTATTATAATTATGAACTCATGATTGTCTTATTATTATCATTAGATCACATCACACTATTATTATTATTATTACTATTATCAATTCATTATTATTATAACTAATTTATTATTATTATCATCATCATCATTAATAATTAATTATTATTATTATTATCAATTCATTATTATTATTATTACTATTAATTTATTGTTATTATTTTATTTTTATATAATGTTTATTAATTTACTATAATTATTATTATCTAATATCTTACTCATGTGACTGATGTTGCATTGAAGTCTGCATCTTTTAATTATTTGTGCATTATTAATTTATCAATTCCTATTTAATGTGATTTTAACCCCTTCTTATCCAACATAATTTGCTTATTATGCATACTTAATTTTACCATGAAAACAATAGGCCCTAAAATAAGGCAATGTATTCACATCTATGATAACAAATACTGAAATATAACTGAATAATTAATTTGTTCAACTTGTAGATCTAAACCTAGGTTTCACATTGTAAAATAATGTATAAAATAAACATTTAAACAGGAAATACCTCACCTAATACTGTAAGGAATTAAACTACTAGCTCTACTAACATCAGTCACCAATTTATCTCATACAACAATTCATCAAATGTCAGGAGTCATCACAAGACGCTGCTGATCACCATCGCATTTATTTCCACATTTCCCATACAGACCAGTAGTGTATTGTCTTTAATCACATTCTTCCAATCTCGCCCAGCAAAAAGAAAATTATAGATCTATTTTGAAGATTTAAAAGCAAATAAAATATATTTTAAAACTGATTAGCTAATAATAACTGATTTATTATGAACCTGTTAGATTAATAGACACATTTTTTCCTAATTCAGGACAATTAGCACAAGTTAACAAATATTTCTTGCTTCCACCATTCTTAACGCCATTGAAAATAGCAAAGTGCACCTACTGACCTAGCTAGATCATCGTATTATTTATGTAGATCTATCATATTTTTTTTAAAGGTTTTCATTACAATCATCATCGTTACCATCAGTAACTAATACACCGCGAATGATTTAACATTATAGCGAAATACAGACATAGCTAAATGAATAGCCGTGGTTGAGAGTAGATCCATGGATCGTCATAATAAAATTGTCAATTTACGACAGCAGTCAGCATAAAGCTAGACAAAGTACAATTCACAAAACAATGAATATAAATAATTTAAATTTAAACTGTTCTCGACAACAATCTGTTGAAGATCTAAATCTGAAATTGAATAAGAAAACTTCTCTGTCCATATAATATCCTGCTTGATTCAGTGTTCCATGTTCCCACCAAAGACATCAAGAACAAATCCGCTTCAATCGTGGAAAATATCAACAAAATTGCTGCTTTTAGGGCACACAGAAAATCACCGACGTCTTATCGATTCATATCTAGAAGATATTACTATCGATTGCTGTTTTGATCAGCGATTTTTTCCAATTTTTTCAACAACTCATTTCTTCTTCCTTGTTACAATATTCGACGCCAGCGTTAAAAGGATATGACGTAGATGCAGTACCTACGTCATAACCAGGGCAGGGTATAAGTTGTTCCCCAAATAACAGAGACTATTCTATAGAAATAGTCATCAATATACACAATATATCCGTATATATTTAGTGCAAACGCATTACGATTTTGTATTCTTTCATGTGGTGAAACTATCTTTCTAGGTTACGAAACATCGCTGATCCAGCTGCTATTTGGGTGCCCGACTGTGTCCAAAATAATACACGGAGAGGCTATTGAGGTCTTTTCCCACTAATAAGGCTTGGAAATCGCAAAATTAGCTATACATTATTGGTGCAACATAAAGAACAACTAAATAAAATGAGAAAATGTGCATATTCATGAAGCAAAATGTCAAATTACATGTCAGTCAAATGTACATGTTTATTTTAATTTCAGCTGTTGTTTCAAACCTTAGTTGACAAACGAGCAAACACTTTATTCAGCACGTAAAATTCATATCAATGTAACGTTTTTATATATTTTTTTTTCAAGGCAACCGTCATTGGATAGGGCTATCTGACGAAATAGTTGAAGGCATTTGGAAATGGTATAGCACTGATAAAGTTACCAACTACACAGACTGGTATCCGGGACAACCTGACCTTGGGTCCAGAGCAAATTGTGCAAATATCTTAAGCAGTCCACCCTATGCTTACCAATGGCTGGATGATGATTGCACATATAAATTCCGACCAATCTGTGAGAGAGGGTAGGCATATTAATTCATGTAAAAGTATCAGATATTGCATAGGTTATTGTAAATCATCATGATGATTACAGATCACATAACGGTGTATATCAAATATATAGATTTTATCATTCCTTAAACACATGCATGTTAATACATAGTTTTTAACATATGCATCTAAACATAGGAGATACATCAATTATATGAGGCAGTGACAACATTTTATAGTGAAATTCCAGGAGAATTACCAACTCATTTTCCCATTTATCTTTGAATGTGGCAAAACTTCTTATATTGCTTTCTTCATTTGAATCATTGTGTAATTCGTTTTTTACATAACGTCATGGGTTGCTTGAAAATGGAAGGAATTAAAACAAGTTCAAGCCTGTATTGCACACGCAATACACACTCACTCGATTTTCTTTAAGTGGGTGGTGTATGACATGCAATGTGACATTAGGTTGACTCGAATACAAATGCCTAACACACCCAAAAAAGAAATCATGCAAAGCTATTACTTCCATGAAGCAGGGCAACAATCAAAAACGCAATACGTCCTGTGATCGTGCTTTCAATATTTTGTTCGCACAAAATTGTATAATTCAGTTATTATATAATATTATCATATTATCATTATATGGCGGTTATTTTATATTAAGTGTGTTTGATTTTTGTTTCAGATTAGACACGGAGACATCAATTGTCGGAAAGTGATCTGTTTTAAGCTGTTTGTTTGGCTCAAAAATAATAATGCAATAATAAATAAATTTGCATCAGTTTGTAACTTATCAATTTGACCTGATATATTTGAGATATAAACACAAACTAAAAATCATAATGGATTGTGTCTAAATGTTCCTTAAATGAATATCTTTCTTTCTTTTTTTGACGGCAATTAAGATTCACTTTTATTAAATAGTATAAAGCCGGACAATACGGACCAGATATGAAAATCCCATAAATTGATTATATTAATGCAACGTCTTGTCTTGTTAATAAATTAATTAAAACTCTCAATGAACTTTGTAAAGCCAGTACGATAACGACAATGGAGACATCATTACTTATTTGAAAAATATTGTCATAATAAAGATCCAGAAAATAATGTTCACCATACACTTCATCACAAAATAAAGATCAACATGTATTGCTCATTACATTTTAATGATTTTAACTATGTAATCACTAAAAATTTGGCAAGTGCAATAAAAGGGATAAAACATTTTAAATGTGAATATATGAGTAACTTACCTTTTACGTAATTCTTAACTAACGACTACGTGACATGCATGTTATTTTTAAGACTCATAATAGCCCTTTCCTCCATCCCCATAACTCTTTTTCTCTTCTTTTCAGTTACCACAAGGAAATCATATATAACAATATGCAGCAAATTTTGTAGTGTAATGTGTTTCTTTATGAATCTTAGGACAAATAACTTCAAACTAATTAAGTTTAATATATTCTCAAGGGTGTTGTAATTATTTCGTTAACAAGAACGACAACTAAAGATTTAATTCTAACACTCCATGTGATTTTGTCACTATAGACAAAGAAGAAGAAAAACCCTCAATTTTATTGTTTACAAAGCCTTTTAAAGCAACATTAAAAAACATTTTTATTTATATTTTCAGTTCTTATAATGTTTTCTTTTCATACAATACCGAAATAATATCTCACATACACTAATGCCACTTATATCATTTAATAAATATTTTGACAAAAAGGCGCCAATCCGTAAGCAGCGTAATGACGTCATCCTAACTATACATCTCATTCATAAACGCTGACGTCATTTCATTCATACAAGTATGATAAATGGGGCACTGATGTTAACACAATACAATCCATTCTAAGACGTAAGTTTTTATTGTTGAAGACTTGATAAAATGACGTTTTTTTTCATTTCTTTTGTTTAATAATTTCTATATCTTAGCAACAGTAGGGTGCGAAAGTCGAACAGCGTTATACGAAAATCGGCACCGGAAGTTATTTCCGCTTGAAAAAATAACATAAGTTATCATCCTTATTTTATCTTGTTAGAATCGAAATAATATCGGTCTTAACGGTGTTTATCGTTTTGATGCGAAAATATTAGCCACTCAGGCCTTCGTGGTCAATTCCTACGCATCAAAACTCCAAACCGGTGTTAAATAGCCGATAAACACAGCTAAGACCGATATTATTTCTTAAATTAACATGAACAATGTCAAAAGAACAACAAAAAATATACAACCACCAACGCAATGAATACACTTGGGCATATGATGCAGACACTATTTTAACTATCCACGTAGTTTCCAGTAATAAATTTCTTTTTATGCGTTTAATTTGCTTTTAGACTCATTATAAAACATGAAAACCTATATAAACCATAAGATAAAAACAGGACAGGGCACAAGGCAGAGCACGGACGGGTGATTACTATAACAATACATAATAGGAACCGACTAGGAAATTAAAAATACGATTAATTTATGGGCCTACAAACGTAAAGGGATGTTGCGAAAGAGGACTAGAAGGTCAGGGAGGGGGAAGGGCAAATTTTAAATAAAACAAAACTAGGGGCAAAGGGAAGATACTTACCGTAGATTTGAAAACAAAAAGGGGCACAAAAGAGTCACCATAATTGTATGAAACAACAGACATACATCTGAGGACCACAGAGGGGTGCCGCCTTGGAACGGCTGGCAGCATAAGCACTGCTGGGGAGTTTAAACCTCACTGTAAGCCCCACCATGTTCCTTTTAAACGAGACAATGTTAATAAAATGAATCCCCACAAATTAAAATTCTAACAGTTCAGTTGTTATGGTTACAAAAGGTTAAAATAAGTCAAACGCAGAAATGTAGATACATATAAAAATAAACCCAATGACCATAACAAATGTCTTAAAGGAAGACAGTGTAAAGACAACATCACCTACAATGGCCCGAGCTCATAGCATCGTATTCAGCAGAATTCAATATTTTAACATGAAAATGTGAAATTTTTAATTTAGAACATCCGTAGATGTGTTCATACGGCGGTTATCATGGAGCCTTCAATATGTCAGCATTTTCAATTTTACTACATGTATTTTGGGCTTTCTTAAATAGGGAAAAATAGAATATCTACAGAAATTACAAATTGGCAAAATGTTTCAGGTTTGGTTTGAAAGTTGTAACCACTGTCTATGAAAGTGTCTTGAAAGTGCAAACCACCGTGACCGTCTATGATTAGCACCAGCTAAAGCAGAATTCAACATGTAACATGAAGTAGTAACAATTTAAGACTTGAAAACACGGCAGATATATTCATACGACGGTTATCATGCAACTTTCAATGTGAAAAGTTGGTGCAATTCCATGAAAAGCGGCGTACGGTCCTCAAATTAAAAAATAATAATGCGATAACACTAAACGAAAGCATATAGCATGTAAACAATGCATTAATTATTAATATAAAATCTTATTACATTCCTTGTTATTAATTAAGCTTTTTTATTAATGAAAATGACTATATTATGCTTAATTATTTGAATTTCTAGACAGTAGCCGAGTATTTTATATATAATTTCTGGTATCATCTCTTTATGACATTTGTACAAAAGACCCTTATTCGTCAATTATCATCATTCCGTTTCAAAAACCAGATGTACAAACACAAGAGAAACCAGAATGAAAGAAATGTTTCTACAGAAGAGACCCAAATATAAATTACATAGGCGTATGCTAAGTCGTAAGTTATAGTCAGGTGCCAGTCTGAGTCCGATAGAATGTACGGAGGAGCATCTGAGACCTGTCACCACTATCAAATGTTAACATGCCCTCTCACATCCTTTAGTTTGTTATCCTGCTAGGTATCTTACCAATGTGAATCAGGTCTGTGTTCTGGGAACGTAGCCTTGCTTTGATTAAGTCTCTTGACGTTATAAAATCCTTCACACGCTCCCCACTCCCCTTATAATTTTGAGTGTGGCAAAAGATAACATAAAGATTATTAATTGAGAAAAACTTCGGCGGATTATTTTTTCCGAGCAGATTCTCTGAACGTTTGAAAAGGTTGGTCAAGTATGTTTTGTCCTATATGTTAATACCTTGTTAATGTACCTATACAGGAAACATCAGTTTATAAAGGCATTATTAAGTCGATTTACGATAAGGACAGGAAAATCATGGCAATAAACATCTAACCGTTTCCGAAAAAGTAGGTTAATGACAATAGGACAAATATGCAAGTTAGGATAATTATCAAGCTGTTACCGGACTGTGTAGATGAATATATTGTTATTTCCATGCATTCCACTGACTTGGGTGTCCAATTTGTGTACACCTAAGTGTATTCAATAGGAAAACATGCATTTCTAAAATTTTGCAAATTTCATTTACATTTGTTACGCGTGTAAATATAAAGCTTTTAATGTTTACGCTAGTATCACTTTTCCCCATTTTTTTCGGATTATTTTGTATGTGTGTAAGTATCAAATAGTTACTTCGCTAAAACTTAAGATAAATATATAATTACTTCGCTAAAACTTAAAATAAATATATAGTTACTTCGCTAAAACTAAAAATAAATATATCGTTACTTCGCTAAAACTTAAAATAAACATATAGTTACTTCCCTAAAACTTAGAATAAATATATAATTACTTCGCTAAAACTTAGAATAAATATATCGTTACTTCGCTAAAACTTAAAATAAACATATAGTTACTTCGCTAAAACTTAGAATAAATATATAGTTACTTCGCTAAAACTTAGAATAAATATATAGTTACTTCGCTAAAACTTAAAATAAATATATAGTTACTTCGCTAAAACTTAAAATAAATATATAGTTACTTCGCTAAAACTTAGAATAAATATATAGTTACTTCGCTAAAACTTAGAATAAATATATAGTTACTTCGCTAAAACTTAAAATAAATATATCGTTACTTCGCTAAAACTTAAAATAAACATATATGTAACAAAGGTAACAAAGGATCGCGAACACATTGACTATATGATTTGTCATCCAAAGGACGGAATTCCGTACACTCAAGCAAAAGGTTAAAGTTAAAATAATTGTGACGAAGATACCTTCTTTACATTCCGAAAAAGTACATTTTATACAATAAAGTGTAACAAATGTTACAAATTGAGGCTCCTGTGCCTATAGTTAAAGACAGAAAATTATGTACACGTGATTGTATATTCTTTCGTCTTAAATATCATGTCCGTTGTTTGTTCAAATATTTACCCAATGAAGGTTTAGGTTTAAGCCAAAACGTCGGTTCACATGTGCAAAACAAAATCATGCGTCGTTGTTTATTTTTCTATAATTTTTAAACTCTAGCTGTCATTGAATTCATCAAAATATTTTTGTAACGTTTTCAAAAAAACATTTTTATTTGTAAATTTTGGATTTTGATAATTAACATTTAGTGATTACATTTTCTCACTCAATTTAATTAATTTCATTCACCTGCCCGTGTTTTTACGAGTTTTGAATAATCAAATTTGTTATAAAAAATTCAACAAACTAAATATTTAAGAAGAACCACCTTCATATTCTCGAAGTATGTATGAAAGTTCTCTCAACTTAGACTAATGAAATTCTACTGTATTTTTCTATAGTTGGTTTACGAATATAAAAAAAGTATGGACGAGGGCCATAAATTAAGAAACATCCGCAAATATGTTTATACGGCGGTTTTCATTGAGCCTTCAATGTGACGCTTTCGTGCCATGCCATGAAAAGCGGCGTATGGTCCAATGTAAAAGAATAAAACAAGTAAAAAGTGTATGTTT